CATTAATCTTTAAATGCATCAAATAACTAAGGGGCATTACACATCTTTGCTTTACAGTTCAATTTAAAACCATTCACTAAACTTTCCATTTATTCTCATGCATATTTAACTTCCATCACATATTCATCTTACCAGCATTCAGCAACCAATCTTCAACTCCATATTTGCACAGAACATTCCAATTCAAATCTGTTATCTCTAAATCAACAAATGTATTACATCATTTTTTCTTCCTGTTCATTCATTTCTCAACAATTTGCTGAAGAGTAACAAATTTTATTAAAAGGCATAAGCTTTCAAGAACTACAACTCACTTCATCAGAATGCATGGAGTGGCTGAACTGATGTAGGACTTAAATTGGTGTGAAGCAGGAGGACAAAAGGGAGGGGAAGACAAGGTGATTGTACAAATGCAGGCTACAAATACCTTTATCAGTTAACAATTGTAATATGTTAAAAAAGCATTGTTTTTGTTGAGATGGCCTGGAACCATTTGATGTATGTTTCTTCAGCACTCTCTAACTTAATTTTGCTGGTAAAGTTTCTTAGTTCTAAAATAGCTACCTTGAATTCTATAATAATGGAGTACTCTGGGAGTTAAAATAGTGTACTTGTTTGTACTTGATTTGAATCCTGATGTGAAATGTGTATCTATTAATTCTTTTGCACAGTCTGGCCCATCAACTCTTTTAGCCAGTATGCCATAACTGCTGTTTTGCCCAGAGTATGTTCATGCTATTCTATGCAAGTTAGGATCACTGATCTATAAAATACCTTGCAGTCCAACATTCTGTTGCCAGCATCCCACCAAATAGGAGGTACACACAGTATACTGCTACTCAGGATAAACTGGTATATGTAGCAGGAAAGTTCTATTCTCTTCTTAAGTTTACTAATGTAATGAATATATTTTATAAATTAAAATGTGAGTTAATGTTTATTACATTGAAATGTTCTTTGATCTGTTTTGTAGACTCAAAATCGCATGAAACTGATGGCAGATAATTATGAAGATGATAATCTTAAATCATCTTATTTCAATCAAACTAATCATAAGCCCTCCCCAGACCAGGTAAGATTATTGTTGTTTCTTTTTTGACTAATCTATCACTACTGAAGTATGCCAGTTTTTTAGTGTATCTAAGACCAGAATCAGTTCTTCTGGAATAGAATCAAAGAACTAGCTTGTTGTAATTATATAATGATTTTCCTTTTCTTATATAAAATTGGAATTCCCACTAAGCAGATCATTAGATTTCACTGTTTCAGAACCTTTCTTGGTACAGTATTGGTTGGCCTATTGTTCTTACAATGATAGAACTAATCTTTATTATGGTCACTGACCAGAATTTTATGAATAAACAAATAGCTAAAATAATTAAATAGTTTCTATTTCAAATAAAAGAAAATATAAAATTGTAGCTAGGTCATTGAGGCAATCAGAATGTATTTAGTCTTATAGACAGTACAACAAAATTTAACCACATTCAAGGAAATGAAATTGTAGTGGTCGGATGAAGGTAACTATAGATAAAGTAAATCAGAATTGTCTAGATACTTCACCAAATCTTAAAATAATATGTGACGACTAAAACTACCACTTCCTTTGGAAATGAATATGCTCAAATAAGATCTGTGATTTACTGCTTATTCTAAGGGAGCAATTGGCTGTCTTCCCCATGGGAAAATCTCAGTTTTTGTATTGAATGATCATAGGGTCTTCCCTTACAAGTTTAGTAAAACTTGACCTAAAAGAAATTAATTTATCATTTCTGATGCATGGACGAGCTTTCTGTGTTGCTGACTAAACTAAGACATGATTTGGATGGTATCAAAAGGCTTAGCAAACACAATAGCTAATGCAAGAGAACTTTCTAACTGGAAAAACATTAGCAGTAATGTAAGATGGCCAGCTCAGTGAAAATATTAGTAAAAACCTTTTTTTTCCAGCTCAAAGAAAAATCATAGATTTTTCCACTCTCATGAAATTCTAAAAATCAGCATTATTTTAGTTGCAAAGTAATCTATATATATCTACCTTATATATAAAAATGTGTACATATGCAGTGGGGTGACTTTGAGGAGAAATAAAGAAGAGAATACTTGAAATTGCCTTCAGTAGGAGAAAATGCTTATTTTTGGTTTTAGTGCAAAATAAAGCAGATAACTAGAAAAAACAAAGTAAGAGTCTCTTGTAAAAAATTTATTTATACCATTTCTCATCTTGCTGAATTTAAAATTAAGAACAAACAAATCAATAGGGGAAATTCACAATATTGTTTCCTATAACATTTCCTATAACATTTCGTACAACGGAGCAGTACGGATCCACTGCAATTCTCAATGGCCTGGGTAGATTAAAGAAGTTTTAGCCACTCTAGTTGATCAAATATGCAACTGTCATATTTAAATTATCATGAGTAAGTAAATTATCCAAATATACAATAATTCAGAACAATAGAATAGAAAGTATGCTAAATTGGTGCTCCTTTCCTATTACATTATTCCTTTGAATGATTTAAGTACTAACCAGATCTTTATTTCATTCCCATGCTTCTCTGGTGCTTTTTCCCCCTTGTCTTCTCTCAACCAATAGGATGAGGAGGAGGGTATTTGGGCATAGCCAATCAGATGCTCTTAGTTCAGCCATTTTGTTCAGAACGGTGAGAATTGGCTTTCTTTACCAGTAGAAAAGTTTCTCATGGTCACTCTTGCATCTTGCTTCTGTGTGATTATGTGGTTTAATTGTCTTTCCTTTCCCTTCTAAATGTGGTCTTTGCATGGAGATGTTATTTTGTTGTAGCTTTACTATTATTTATGTTAGCCTTGTACTGTTTTGTGTCACTGTGAGAATACTCTCCCAAAGCATGCGATTGGATTTACATGCAAAGCAATAGCATGATTCATGAAGGAGCAAATGTTCCCATTATAATTTAACAGCACAATTTGAACATGGTTTCCAATATTTACATTTAGAAAACTTTTTTGATAAAGTTGTATGTTCCATCTTTTTTTCCTAAATCACACATAAATAACCAAAGAGATTTTATTTCCACTGCTTATATTATAACTTATGAGCAAAATGAACTATGCTGTTGACATTGCTGCAAGATTGTAAGGTGTGCCCCAATTATGTGAAAGGTTCATTAAAATAGAATTAGATTTGAAGAAGATTAATGGTAATGCACCAGATTCTTTGCACATATTTTGATTTAATAAATATATGTATTGTTACCCTAATCCAGACACATGAGGTTAAATTTTAGTAAGAGAACCTGAGAATTGAATAAGTCGTCCTTTTTGTACAGAACATTGTTTAATTCAAGCTTCTTTGTGATCTCACAGTGTTTTGAAGTTGCTTTTCTGTCATGTCTCTGTATGTATGTTTAAATGGTTTGTAATAATAACAAGTGAACTATCTTGCTGAAGAATGCCAATGAACGGAAAGAGATGAGGTAAGTTAATTAGTTCAGACTCATTTTCATTGGAAAAAGAAAGTAGCAGGCAGGGTTTCATGTCTAATGAGAAAGGTACAGTTGAAGGAACATATGTACTTTTCTCTAAATGTGTCCTGCTGTTGTATTGGAAGTCAAAATCAACATATATGGAGCACATTAAGTTGGGGAATATTCAAGTAAGTGTATTCATATTTGCATTTCCTTCTCCATTTACTTTGTAATAATTTTCTCTGCCGCCAGAGAGGAAAAAGTGGGACATTTCATGGCTTTCAAGCTTATTTATAGCTCTGTGCTGTGGAATAAAAGTTACAGTTGGAGTACTAATATCTGAATCAAAGCAGTAGGACAATAGGATGTAAGAATATGAAAGTGAGATGAACAAAAAAGATAAGATTGATTGATTGATTGATTGATTGATTGATTGAT